GAGAAGTGCAGGGGAGGGTGAGCATAGGAAAGAGCAGGGTGAAGAAACAAACAATCTAGGCAACAATAGATTGGATATCATGTTGGAGAGAGGAAATAAGGAGGCAGCAAATGTATTCAGATATTTAAGAGTGATCTTATCACTGAGATGCAGAAGCTGAGATTATCTTCCTCTAACCAACCTCTCCCCACCACACTCCCTGGGCATACATAATCCCTTACCACTATCCTCTCACAGCACCTAATGCCCTCAACCTAACAGTAAGTAAATGAAAATAGAGCATAATTAAAGTGTTGTATCAGATATAATGGAGACGGAAGAAGCTGCTGTTGCCTCTGTGTTATTTCACCACCCTCTTTTCCCACTGTGGGAAGGGGGAAAAATGAAAAGGAGGAAGAGAGGTAAATGAGTAGGAGAGAGGGAAGAGGGAGACAGGAGGAGGAAAGAGAGGAGAGGGACTCGTCTAAGTAATGTACATTACTTCTAATTATCACTGAAAAACTATATGAAATTAGACAGAAATAATATGGTTGGGGATGCACCTTTATTAAAACATGAGTTTCTATGAGAAAATAGTTTCTAATCTTTAAAACCCCTTACTGCAGTAACAATTTTCAGTAACACATTAATGTGGTAAATTGGGGCTCTATTGTATTGTTATTTTAAAACAGTGGACATTATTGATACTGTAAACCTTTAAACATAGAAAAGTTATTAGTGTGGGTGCTATATAGAAAGGATGTACAATTAAAACAACCACTTCCTTACTGAAACTTTACTTCAGAGGAGCATGAAGGGCCTTATGTACAAATTTGGCCAGATCTCAGGACCTGGAGGTGTGGGTGTGCAAGTAGGCAGTGGGCGGCTCCAACCTCTGGACACGCCCCCGGCACTCACACTCACAGCAGATGTAGAGAAGGAGGTGCTAGAGATTTCTCATTGATTGGCAGAGCCGTTCACTCGCCCAGTTCAAGGTATGTCTCTCATGATATTAAGTTAAAGGAAAATGAACAAACACTTGGGACATCTTATTATGGAAATGTTTCAGTCCTTGGACCTTGTTCACTCCATACATGGGTTTGAGAAAACAGGTTTATATAAGGATTGGTACTTATGAGGTAAGCTGAAGTTTAATAAGGTCAGGTGATCATACAGTTGTGAGATCACCAAGTGGAGTCATTGGGTAGCTTTAAAATATGTTGGACAAATGTATGAAGAGGACCTACCTAGCATGGGCCAGCAGACCTTCTGCAGTGCTCCTTCATTCTCATGTTCGCTTGATGGCTGTATCCCAAGGTGAGCAGGGCGATTCATGTTTGAGAAATAAGTGTGCCAGTGTGGCAGATACTGTATGACGTCTTGCTTTATGCTCTGCTGCATTTGTTACTGCAATTAGGGATGCTTCTAAACACTGGTGTCTCCTTAAATCTTTCTCTCTGATGATCATCTGGTCTTCATTTCATTTTATTAAATGTCCTTCAGTGTTTCTATACATCACACAGGCATCACTTTGGTCATCCTTGGTACATGTATATTTGTAGTTCTTGATCTTAATAGGGAGGCTCTTACCAGGCTCCTACACAGGATAGTGTACACATTAGTGGTAGATACTGGGAAGTTAACAGTATGACACTTTTGGCAAGATTCTTGATGGGTGGCAGTAGATATTATGGCCACTTTGATATCATTCTTGGGAAGTGCTCTAGGTGTATTGTTTGTCACATCATCACACAGGAGGACTAAGGACCTCTGTGTGGTACATTCAAAAGATGGTCATGGAATGTTGTCCACAGTTGTGAATGAAGACTGTAGGATAGTGAAGACATAAGACATGAAGTTTGTATAATGTAGGCATGTTCTTTCTTAAGAAAAACCAGATTAGATATATGGAGAGTGCTCAGAATGAATCCACTCACTAATGCCCCTCTTAGTGCATATTTCGTGGTGTGAATAGTGTGTATCAGGTCATCCTTGTTAGTGGGTTTCTTGTACACTTTGAAAGAGAGGGCATCACTATCAGGTGTTCTGCATGGAAGGACTGCCTAGTATACCTTGGGATACAGCCATCACTTGAACATGAAATGGAGGAGCACTGCAGTAGGTCGCTGGTTCATGCTAGGTAGGTTCTCAAACACCCACAGTCAGTGGCCAGGCTTCAAACACCTTTTATTGTATAGCAATAAAGGAATGGAACAGATTGCCTGCACATGTCAAAGTCAGCCATAGCATGAGCCAGTTCAAGAAAAGAGCCAAAAAGGTGCCTAATGAATGTAGTGAGAGAGAGGGAGGAGAATGTTTTTTTTTTTTAGCTAACATGCATGTAAATGTTGAAAGCTCTTTTTACCTTATTCCTAGTATAATTCTTTATAGTATAATACAGTACTAAGACATTATCTCCTACATTTATAATAATAAGGTATTAAAAGGACCTCAATGGAAATAGTTACTTTAGCTTTTTGCATAATCCTAGGTTCTCTACACATATGCTGCTGTGTATGCTATATATGATTGGTATTTTTTTTAATAAATGTATGAAAGAGGGGAAGGTACCTAGGGGTTGGCGGAGAGCATGTATAGTCCCTTTATATAAAGGGAAGGGGGACAAAAGAGATTCAATTCAATTCAATTCAAAGTTATTCTCTATAAGGATTACAATGCTGAGTTTACAGAATTTGGTTATTGTGTGGTTTACATGTAGTAAAATAATAATTACAGAGTGTACCACTAGAACACCTAGCATGGCTAGGCATTTTGGGCAGACTTATATTAAATCTTAAGTTTAAAATATTACAAAATTATAAGTAAGTTGGTTTTAAAGGGCTAAGTGACTAAATACTAGTTGTGAGTTTAGCAATGTGAATGCTTTTGTTTTGGCACTATACATATTTCAGTTTTGGGAGTATCACAGGCCAACTTATGACTAGTTAAGTTTTCTTTTATTTTGAGACTGAGATTGATTTTTCCCTGTTTATGGTCATAGGGGTGGAGTGAGTGTAAGTGTGAACCACCAGGTGGTATTCGTATTATTAGTTGACGGGGTTTGTATCAGGGAGATAAGATGTTTTCTGAAGGTAGTTTTGAAGGTGATGAATGTTCTGCAGTTTTGGAATTTTCAGGTAGGGTGTTCCAGATTTTAGGGCCTTTGACAACATTGAATTTTTGTAAAGGTTTTAGTCGGACACGGGAATGTCATAGGAGTTTGTGTCTGGTGTTGTGCCTGGGGGTTTTCTGTCACAACTATCAAGAAAGCATTTTAGGTCAAGGTTAATTTTGGGAAATTTTTAAGGCCCTGTAGATTTAAATTGCACAGTAGTAAGTGTGGATGTACTGAAACAGGGAGTAAGTTAGATCTATGAAGAGTGGGGGGCTGTGTTGCCAGGGAGGGAAATTTAGTGATTATTCTTACTGCGGCTTTTGTTGGGTTATTATTGGCTTTAGGTGTGTTGCTGCAGTTGAACCCCAAAACACAGATAGCATAGGTGAGGTATGGATTATAAGTGAATGGTATAGTGTGAAAGGGCAGTTTGCGGGACGTAGTATCGTATCTTGGAGAGGATCCCAACCGTTTGGATACTTTTTTTGGGTTTTATTGGATATGGGTGCTGAAGTTCAGGTTGTTGTCGAGGTATAGGCCTAGGAATTTGCCCTCATTATGCCTGGCAATTAGAGTGTTTTTCGATCTTTAAAGTTAATTTGCGCATCTCCTGCTCTGCTAAACCCAAAAATATGTAGTAGGTTTTGTCAACGTTAAGCGTAAGTTTATTGGCTGTCATCCAAGTCGATATTTTGATCAGCTCCTCATTAACAATGGTGTTTGGGGGGTGGCAAGATTAGGGTGAGAGATGACTAAGTCCCTGTCGTTTACAAAGAGAATGGGGTTCAGGTGTCGAGATTCGTTTGGAAGATCATTGATGTATATGGAAGAGCAGGGGACCAAGGAAAACTTCCCTGCGGAACTCCATAAAGTGGCTGTTTTTGATGCTGTGTCTTAATGGGGACTACTGATACCTATTAATTTAAATAAGATTTGAAAATTCAAGCGCATGACCTCTTATACCATAAGGTCAAGTTTTGGGAGGATGCGTGGTTTTCTGTGTCAAAACTTTTTTAGGTCAATAAAAATTCCTAGTGGATATTCCTTATTTTCCAGCTTGTGTAAAGCGATCTAGCATTTTTATGATTTCCCTCGTTATGCTTTTATTTTTTTCCCGAATCCAAATTGGCAAAGGGGGGGATATTTTTGTATGTTTTAAAAAGAATACAGTCTCCGTGCAGAGTTTCTCAAGATTTTGGGATAGCAATGGGGAATTTGATATTGGGCCCATAGTTGTTTAAATCTGAGGGTAACCACCTTTGTATTTGGGGTAACCCTTGCCTCTTTGGGAATTTGGGAAGGGGGCTAGTTTCTAGTGACTTTTAAAAAATAATGAGATAAATTTTGCGAGAGGACAGGGCCATCTCTTTTCAATAATGGTGGGGCATGAGACAGATTCCCGAGTTATTTTTTGTGACTTTAAATTCGGGGACTTTCCCTGGGGTATTGGAGCAAGATAGAAGGAATTTGGGGAAAATTCCCACTAGGAGTCCCCGGATGGGATTGGTGGTGGGATTTAAAGGCGAGATTAAACCAGGTTTGGGAAAAAGTCGTTTTTCTTGTTAGCTGTGTCATGGGGTTGGGGTGTTTTATTAGGGTTTTTGTTAGGACAAAATTTTTTGTTTTTTTTCAGTTTTGGGCCCTAGAACTGAGAGAGTGTTTCCCCGGGTTTTTTTATATCTCCTCTTGTGCAGTGTCTAATGATGTATAATGTTTGGCTTTCTTTATTACTTTGGTGAGGACTGATGAATAGTGTTTAAGAATATCTTTGTGTATTAAGCCCTGTCTATATTGCTTTTCATATTGGTGTTTCTTATCAATGGATTTCAGAATGGTGCTGGTTAGCCATGGGCAACCAAGCCGTTTGTTTGTGATGTTTCGTTTTTATAGGACAATGTTTGTTGTATAGTCTAAGTAGTTTGTTAAGAAAAATGTCTGTCCAGTCATCAATACCATTGGCCTTGGAGAATTCTGTAGGCCAGTCAACAGTCTCTAGGTCAGCTGTGAACTTCCTTATTGAGGCCTCATCATGGAGTCTAAATGAGATGTTGTTGTATTCAAGTGGTGGTTTACTAATGTTTGTCAAGAGGAAGGTAGGGTAGTGGTCTGTAGTGCTATCTGTGATTATCCCTGATTTAAGGGGGGCTAGTATATTGGTCCATATGTGGTCTATTATAGTTGCACTTGTTTCAGTGAGCCTGGTTGGTTTAGTTATTGTTGGTATGAGAAGTATGTTGTTCATATTGTTGATGAAATCAGTTACAGGCTGTTCATCTAGTAGGCCAAGGTTGATGTTGAAGTCTCCAGCTAAGAGAAGGTGGTGCTTATTCATTTGTCTGTTTGTTATTAGTGCCTTTAATTTCTCACTGAAGTTTGGGATGTTTGTGTGGGGTATCCGGTAAATGGCACCGATTGTTAAAGGCGTCTTAAGGTTTTTTACAGTAAAATTAGCAAAATTATATTCTCCATATTCATCACTAAAGCAATTGGTGCTAATACAAGATAATTGGTTAGAGTAATAGATTGCAATACCACCCCCAACTTGGTATGGTCTGCAGTTGTGGATTGCTGTGTATCCTTGTAGAGGGTAGATATTGTTTCCTGTTTAAGCCAGGTCTCAGTAAGAATAATGCAGGAGAAGGGTGTCTTTAGTGAAAAAATTATAGAGGAATAAATTTATTAAGTATACCAGGAAAAGTGTACGTAGGGTTATTTATGAAAAAATTAGAGGTAGACAGAATGTAGGATTCAGTGAGCAAGGAGGTGTCAAAGTGGGTAGGGGATGTGTAGACAAGTTTTACATTAAACATAATTAAACATATTTAGATAAAGGTGGAATTTTTTTTGCTTTTTATGGATTAGAAAAGGCAAGATAGAGTG